TGCAGTTAGGAACGGAGCCTGCATATTTTTTGTTAAGTTTGGAGCTTGTTACTTGCTCATTACAAGTGCTTTATTGCTATTGCTCATACAGAGACTGTGATCCAAGCCTGTTATTTTTCCAAAAGCAATAATATTATTGCATCATTTAAACGATATGGGTATTGGAAGCAACAACGTAAATGTGGCATGACAACTCTTCTGCTAATGTCAATACTTTTAACGCCACAACTAATAACGCTGCATTAGGCTGACCAGCCATAGTGTGAGCAGTATTTTGTTCGAGAGAGAGAGAGAGAGAAAGCACTCTGCCTCTCTTGCCCATCGCGGCACACCAAGCTGCTGTGGGGGGCTTGCTTATATTTTATGAGGCATGCTTCTAAATAGCGTCTGCAGAGCAGGTTACGGTGCATTTTGAAGTAGTTAGAGAAGCATTTTCTGATAAAACCAGAAGTGTCTAAACGCCCTGAGGAATCCCAGAAGCGTGCACAGCAATATGGTTATTATTGGATGATATTTGGGAAGAAAGTGCTAATGGGCAATCTGGTGTTTATTTTGAAACTGCTAACAATGATTTTTCTTTGGTAAAAAGGCAGTGTCTGGGAACACGGTTGAGTGGGTTTTGAGCATAGGCTCTAACAGATGGTGTGGAGCTATAGGTGCGCTCTCGCCCCTCCACTCCCGTCTCCTGCTAGACTGGGGGACGTTGTGCCTGACCGGACTCTCTGAGCAGCAGCCTGGCTGCACTAGGCTGCTTGTGGAGAAGGGTTTCCGCGCTCGCCGCTTCTCCTCCTCCTCCCCCTCCCCCCAGACACCCCTGGAGAGAGCCCTGTCCTCGCACGCTGCTTCTCCCCCTCCCCTTCCCGGCTCCTCTGGAGAGGTTTCCCGCGCGCGCCGCTTCCCCCCCACCACTCTAAAGAGACCACTCTAAAGCGGCTGCAGCTTCCCTACTCCTAAGGCTGCCAGCCACCGCTACCAGAGCCTGCCTCTGCTTCCTGTCCCCCTGTTCCTAATGCTGCAGGGGCCTGAACGGTCTGCTCCTGCCTAGCCACCAGAGCACTTTCTTCCAGTCCCACGGCTGCAGTGCACGCTCCCTAGCCTTGCACGCCTCCAAAATGAAGGTGGGGCTGGGAAAGAGATTCTCCACCAAGTCCTTCTTAAGAAAAAAGAAAGAACAAAAATGCAGTAGATCTAATCCTCGCCATGGCTTCCCCTCTGGAAACTGTATCACCAGTGACCATGATATCACCAGTGCCCTCTAACCTCCTCAGCCACTTTGACACTTACTTTATTTCCAGTTGTGTGTTGACAGGGCCATGGTTATTACCATTGTTATTTTAAATTAAAGCCTGCATCGCTAGCACTAGTCACTAAAGAGAAAGATGGCCCAGTTGCAACGGTAACCTATAGCCTTATAGACAGGTATTGTTTTGAAAACACACAAGTAATATATGTCACCACAGACATAACAAGCAGGCTCTATGGCTGCAAATGTTTGTTGTTGCAGCGTGCCATATCACTTCTGGCGATTGTTACTTTTCCTCTGATGAATCCCCGTATTTATATGTGATTTATTTTTTATTTTGTCGCACAAACAGAAATCCATAAACTGTCGGTTCAGCGCCATTGACTCTTTGATCAGTTACTGGGCTATTTTTTCTCCCGTCAGTGAAGAGAGATTAAAAGCCTTTATTTTCAGCACTGTTTGTACTGCAAAGGTACGAAGCTAAATGAACAATAAAAGTGTATTTAAAATGTAGCCTCTGTATTCTTTTATTCAGCAGCCTCGAAACTTATAGCTGCCTGTATCAGCCTCTTAATTAGACCGCTACAGCGATTTCCGAAAACATTTAGCTGGTCTATACAAAGGAAATAAAACCACATTGTCAACTCAAGAGCGCTCCAGAGTTTAAAAGGGGCTTCTCTGTAACCTATTGAAATAAGTATTGAAGGGTACAACGCCTTCGTCTTTGTCAGAGTGATAGTAGTTTGCCTGTCAGATCTGTTTTTCTCTAAAAGGAAATCATACAATTTTACTACTGGGGACATTTAAATCGAATCCTGTTTTTGTCAAGATAAGTAAAAACTTTTTAGGGAAGTGGGGAAGGAAGACTGAAATCTGAAACAAAACATAAAATCCTAGACCTGTGTGCCGAATGCAGTAGCCCGTTATTCCAGCTGGGGAAGGGAAAAATTAAGACTCATCTACTCTTAGTTTTGGGTCTTAAAAGTTAGCAAAACATATACTGGTGAAGCTATTCTCACATATGTGGGTAACACACACACCAGTTAAATTCTATGTTAAAAATGGCGTGTTTGTCGAGTGGTTTTAATTTACATATCTGGAATCTGGTTTTCAGAACACTGCAATTCTCCCTTCCCCGCCCCATCGTCAAACGTCTCTCCGGGAAAAAAAAAGTTGAACATTATCAAAAGCTAACAAATAGCTTTCTGTCTTTAATTGCTATGGCGCAATACTGATAGCATGTAGTTATCATCGGAAATGTTGACCAAGACAGGTTAAATAATTTAATAAGGAACTGTTTGTAATTATGTTATTTACAAGGTATGACAGAGATTTGAAGAAGAAACAGAAGCTGATCTCAGGGAAATGGACGGGTTTGGGTGACCCCTGGAGCATGGAGTTTGAATTATGGAGATGGGGGGCTGAGAGGTGAATATGGACTAGAGGAGAACAAGATGACTTTTCACCTCAACACATTTAACTTTTAAATCCAAATAAACGTCTCGCGTTACTAGATCATCACATTATAAAATAAAAGGACAAATCACATTCAGTTTTAAGGTGTCGAGAAAGAAGTATTGACTTTGCCCATCGTGGAAAATATATAAAAGAAGTTCCAAATTGAAATAAATGCATTTAAAAATAAACTTGGGGCAACTTTATAGCATTTTCTCTTTTAACTATCCATTGCTAAAATTAATTAGATTAAAATTTGACTCAGAGGGCAAGGCATTTAATGTTACATATATATACTACCTAGTATAGTAACACTAAAACTGTTTTTCTTTCTAAATATTTTCCAATACTATGGCATTTTAATTAACATGATAAATAAACTAAAAGAAAAACAGATACAGGAGATCAATTTTCAGCACCATGCCCTCTGAACTGAATGTAAAATACAAACTCAGCAACTTAAAATATTACCAAAGCTTAAACTTTCTCACCTGTTTGGTCATTGAATCTATTAGACGAACGTACAAATCCTGTTCTGTTCTAACTCCTGGGAGGGAAAAACAGAGACAAATTCTTATTAGAATTACAGTAGTGAGCCATCCAAATTACATAATGGACATATGAGGTCAGTCAATTAAGTGCTATGAGCAATATATCCAAACGTATCTGAATTTTTTAAAGGGAAAGAATTTTCATCAAAACTTATCTAGCGACAAAGTTATTGTCAACTAGATTATATCCAAGGGTATATATTCGAGAAAATATTAAACGCTCTCATTGACTCTGAGAGCGTATTTCATGTTTTCATTTTATTGGTCTGTGTGGTCATCATTTTGAAGAAAACACTAGAGATGCATTATAATTTTGGATGTTTTTATTGACAAATAGTGTTATCATTTTAAACCTTGATCTCGTATTTAAGGAATGTTTTGGTTTTGATAAGGAATCTGTTATGTCTGCTCTATGCAGCTACCCTTTTGCAATAATTAACATTAATTTGCAAAACTGAAAAAAGTCACTTAAAAGTGATGTTCTGTTGGAGCAGCTATTGATCCTCCCTTTTTTACTTTCCACTTCAAGACCAACCCGGTTAATCATGTGAAGTACCATTGACTTATTGATCGTTTATGTTTTGTTTTCCTTATATGCCAGGAGAAGATTCGTGTTTACATCCATGTAATTTTAATCTCAAAATCTTTATATCCTTTTAAAACAAGCCTTGAGAAAGAGAGTAGCACTTATTTGTGTTACACATACATACACCCACACATATATATACACACACACAAAAAGAGGTAACAACAACTTACCATTACTATACAATAACTGAAGTTTATAATGAATTCCATTGTTAGTTTTTTCATTGTTTGGCTCCTGCAAATAATGATAAATAATTATATTTAGTGTGATAAATATGGTATCTCCTCTCCTGAAGCATAATTTTTCCATCTCTGAAGCAGCTCAGAATTACAGTTTGCAGAAATTCTGTCCTAAGTCACTTTGTGGAACCCTAATGATGTCATTATCCTGGTGCAAAAATGTCATGTTTAGCTATTTCTCTTCGTTAAAATAAGCCGGTTATGTAGAGATAAGTTTCTAAACATTGGGATCAATTCTTAGCGGCCGAGCGCTGCTATAATAACAGGGGGAACTACACGTGGTTTGGACGCCTCTGGAGTACCGTTAGAGCTCGCAGTGTTTAACTCAAAGTGAAAATTATCTTTGATCAATTAAATCATACTTAAATAATAATAAAAAAACTTACTTTCTCTTTCTCCACAAAGTCCACAAAAGCTGTTCTTTCAATCTCCACTGGCTGTCCCTGCCTGTCGTACAGAGCTAAGACGAAGTGGAAAAAATTGGATTTTCTGAGATTTGAAGGCGGCTGTTTCTCGAAATGTGCCCGAGCCAGCCCCACACCGCTGCGGGAGAAAACAAGACAACGTCTCGGTGAGAAGTGGATACACCGGAGAGAGGGACGGGGCTTCTGATGAAAACATGGGAGATGGGAATTACATTTGGGGAAACGAGATTTCTTGATTTGTCACTATAGCCGTAATATGATGTAATGAAAAGGGGGAGAGAGAGAGAGAGAAAACAGTGAAGCGGAGTACAGGGAGATTGTAATTGATATAGAGTATTGAGGGGATTTACGGTCGGTATGAGAAATATAAGAGGAGGGAAAGAGGGGAAAGAAAACACCACACGATCATTTGGCACACGTACCTTTGGGCGGCTGTGTTAGCATCCACTACCCCAGCAGTATGCATCCATGATCGGACTGGATTCATCCCACTGCCCAGCGGTTCTTCTTTCATGGTCGTCCCACCTCTTGGTATATTTTCCTGAATCCCAAACATTAAAACAAATTTGGGCAAAACCAGCTCCTAACCAAAAGGGGTTAAAATTAAGGGCAATGTCAGATACAGGGTGGGTTGGTTGATTTTTTTTCTCCTCTCCCTCTCTCTCTCTCTCCTCTCTCTCCTGCGACTGGAATAATAAGAGA